ACTTAGCAGGCGGGGAACTCAGTAGGGCATTCAGTCTATGAGCAAAACTCAGAAATCAGCTGTGTGTTTCAGTCCGTGTTTGGACGGGTTATCACATGGATATGTGAATGCGAATTCTCGTAATTGTGGCCACATACATCCCGAACTGGCCAGATACATCCAGGGAAGTCCTATCTAGTGTGAATATGCTCTGAGGCTTCAAAGATGGAATGAGGATGACGATGACGATGATGACGATGATGATGATGATGATGATGACGACGACGATGATGATGACGATGATGATGACGATGATGATGATGATGATGATGACGATGACGATGATGATGGGGATGGTGGAGTGACATGAGATCATACCACTTCTCTTGTGGTGTTGATGCAGCAACCCAATCCATAAAGGATCCTTTAGTGCATGAATGCGAACGCATTTATCCAGGACTGGCTGTAATATTTCCTATAGGTTACGTCAATGAATGCATGCACAGAATGGTGTCCACAGCAATGTCTGCTAACTTAGTGTGGAACGACCTTCTCTCCAATTTCTTTCTTTCCTTTTTAGAAAAAAAGAAAAAATCATAACATTATTGAGATGTCTTAAGGAACGATGGCCTTGAGGTGTCATCATTGAGAACGTCACCGGCTTGAGATAATTGAGAATTATAATTCAATTATTTGAATTCATTTCCTTCTGTTCATCTGATTGCATCTGTAGTCGAACTTTGGGCAATGGGGACTGCATTTTGACAGTTCATGGGTGTACCGACTGGCCTAGCTCAGGTGATACACCCATGAACTGTCGACTTACAGACCCGAATTTGAATCCAGTTTTCGACTATCCTAATTGCGGAAGCTTATTACCAACGTTCCGAAGTCCTATCGTGTGTTGGAATCATGTGTGTGTAGAATGTTTTGGGCTCACACACTCCACACACACAATGTTTGGCAAAGCTCAGCCTCCATTTCACTGTGCCAATTGTTGGGCAGTGGTGTCTGCACCGATCGGCACCACTGCCCAACAACTGTCTCTTATACACATCTAGATGTGTATAAGAGACAGATCCAACAATTGGCACAGTGAAATGGAGGCTGAGCTTTGCCAAACATTGTGTGTGTGGAGTGTGTGAGCCCAAAACATTCTACACACACATGATAAACCACCAGTACTTTCATCGTCAGGCATTTTTCTACAACTCGGCAGTGCTCGAGCCACATCTGATGGGATGTACTGGCCTTCTTATTTATAAGTTCACCGAGAATGAGTTGATTCTCATATATGAATCATCCTTCGGCCTTAAATGTCACATAAGAGAGGCCTCTGCTTCCCGTTGCGCCTTTGGCTCCACTCTGGCGATAGATCAGACGCGAMRCGTCTGCTCGAGTACAAATGCGGGTGCTGCCTCCAGCAAGCAGTTTCGGAGTTCGAGCGCCCACTTCGTTCGCTGGCCTTGAGTGTGCGACGGACTAACTCAAGTCCGTCGATTTAGGCTCCTTCCCGTCTGCTGATTCACTTAGTTAGGTACTACGAGCCCTCTGTCCCGCCTCGCAAAAAGTACATTCGGGCAAAACGGGCCATGCACACGGCGTGACGTGCCTGGATGTATTGTTTGCCAAACGGCGGGCCGGGACATCCTGCCAGATGCGGCGCGAGCACTGCCACGTTGTAGAAAAATGGCTTGGAAACGTACCGGCGGTTTAAGCCGCCAGTGCATTGTGCACACAACCAAAACAAACTCCATTCGTAAGGAAAGACTTCTGCAAATAAGGCTAAAAAGTCATTGTGAAATGTGGCTATATTCCCCATTTCCGCCAGCGGTCGGTCAAAATACATAGGTCCCTTATGGTCCACACAGTCTAGGGGTACCTCTGAGGCCCAAATTTTGGGCCATAAGGGGCCTCAGGACAAACACCCATATTATGGTAACACATCCAACAAGTTGTAATTTGCCCAAAGGCCAGCTGAGGAAGTAAAGGAGAGGAGCGGCGAGGGTTGAGGAGGCCATCAGCGGCCCACCCGTCTTCTGAAGAATAAAACACCACACCACTGAACTCTCCATCCTCCTCCTCCTCCCCGCCCTCCTCCTCCTCCTCCTCCTCCTCCTCCTCCTCCTCCTCCTCCTCATCCTCTTTTTCCCAATTTCTCGGTTTTCCATCCCCCCATACTTATCGTTGCCATCAAGCACACCCTTCTTCCTTACCATCCTCCCTCTACTCCTCCTCCTCCCCCCTCTACCCCTGCTTCCTTCTCCTTGACTGAGCTGGTTGCTCGCGTTTACTTAGACACCTCTTCATCCTCCTTCCTGCCCCACTCTCCTCTCTGCCGTTCTAACCCCCCTTGTCCCCATCAATTTCCCTCCTCCTCCCTTTTTTCTCCTCATCATCATCTTCATGCCCCTCAGCGTACTCTCCTCTGAGTCCTCTCTGCCGTCCTAAGTTCTAACCATACTTGCGGCGCATCTCATGCGCGGGGACGCGGCACATGCGGCGCACAGCGCACGCGCATGAGATGCTGTCTCTTATACACATCTAGATGTGTATAAGAGACAGGTGCCGATCGGTGCAGACACCACTGCCCAACAATTGGCACAGTGAAATGGAGGCTGAGCTTTGCCAAACATTGTGTGTGTGGAGTGTGTGAGCCCAAAACATTCTACACACANAAAACACAGAAATTTCAGAGTGGGGTGGCCAAACCCTCCCCTCACCTCTGAAAATCAGAGAGCAAGAGGGAAAAAAGTTTGGGCCATGCGATACCCCAAAACTGTGGGCACTCATCTATGCATGCGAGTATTCATGCCCTACTGGGTCCAGCCACTTTTCCGAAGGGCCCTTACAGCATATTAGCTGGGGCCCTATGTGTAGCAGAGGCGAACTTCACACTACCTACTTCTAGGCGTGGGCCTAGAATATATAATCAGGATTCGAATCCAGGTCTCTGCATCTCGGTTATGGGTCACTATTTCTCGTTGTTCTCGTTTTCCATTTCTTTCGTTTTCCTTTTCTTTTGTTTTCCTTTCTTCCGTTTTCCTTTTCTTAGGAATACGTGCAGTGGCCCTCAGGGCCTCTAATCATGACCATGCATAAAAGACAAAACATATGGCGGCGTACTATTCCACGTTCTGCAGAAGATTCATTCTAATTTTGCACATTTGGTGAGTAGTGCAGCCAAACCCTGAGAATCACGTGTAGAGAACAACAGGCCATAGCTTACTGACCAACCCATAACTCCTGAATTCAAATCTCCACTATATATTCGGCCAGCTCGTCGTGCAATTCATGTTCACTGCCTGCCTCGTTTTTGGATGGGGGTCTGGGCTTTAATGCCGCGAGGACCCTTAAGAGTGCCTGCATCGGCAGCCTGAGGCGTGTTAAGGGGATCCTTTGCTCTCACACACCCCTGAAAAACAACAAAATGGAGTTGAGAGGAAGGATGTAGGGGGCCACACACACACCTTTAAAAAAATAAAAAAAATAAAAATAAAAAATTGAGCGCATCACCAATTTGCGCATGGCGCATGCGCACCGCACGGCGCAGCACAGAAGTGCGCCGCAAGTGTGGTTCTAACCCCTTGCCTCCTTCCTTTCTTTTTTTCACCCCCTTCTTTTTCTTTTGCCCTGCTTTCCTCTCTCCATCATTCTCCGCCATGCATTACATAAGTTCTTTTTACTAAGTTTTTAGGGCTCAAGGGAAGAGTCATTCACCTAGAGCAGCTTCCTTTGCCTTTGCTATTGCTGCTGCCGCTGCTGCCGCATCAGTTACCTGGTCTGCAACAGGCAGTACATTCATCAACACAAACAGTAAAACATTCCTAGTTAGAATAGCCATCCGGTACCGTCTTCCGCCGAACAAAACGCACCCTGATTTTGACCATGTCAACCGCGGACCCAGACCCGAACATGTCTGGACCGAGGCCCAGACATTTGTCTGGACTGGTCTGGACGTACGGTAATCGGGACAGGCACCGGACAACGGGACAGGACCGGACCCAGACCGTCCGGGCCGGTGCACCAGACACAAACATGTCCGGACGGGAAGGGGAAAAAAAAAAAAAAAAAAAAAAAAAAACAAACAAACAAACAAACAAACAAACAAACATTAGTAATAACTTATAATCCGTATTAACCACAACTTACTGTCTTTCACTATTCACAACTTGACAGCTCAATACTGTCACAGACATTCACAAAGGCTCACACAACACTTGAAACCAGTTCTCAACAGACCAATCCCAAGTCACTTCAGAGAAGAGTATGAAAATCAGAAAGAAACAGAACTTTGAACTTCGAAGTTAGACTTTCTAATTCATATTCATATGAAAATTGAACATTTAAACTGTTAAGTTATTCAGATCCGCGTAAGAACAGATCTGAGAGCTGGTCAGGACCAGATCTAAGACAGGATCTCACATCTGACCAAAATCCTCTCTCTCTCTCTCTCTCTCTCTCTCTCTCTCTCTCTCTCTCTCTCTCTCTCTCTCTCTCTAGCTTGATGTTCTGTGGCGCTTTGCAGCCCGCGCTTCATTTTTGGAATGGGACTCATCCTCATCCGATGAACTACCAGCATAGTACAACAGCAGAGGGAGCTGTTGGAGGCGTCCGGCGGCGTCCGGTAGGCCCTGAGACGGCCAAAAAATACCAGGGGCATTTTTTGGGGTCAGCCTAGGACCCGAAAAACGTCCTACGCCCCCCCCCAAAAAAAAAATCAAAAATTTCAAATTGGGCCCAATCCAGACCTACCGGACCAGACACCAGACCCGTACCCAGACAACCGGACCGTTGGGATTCTGGTTCAGACGTCGTCCGGCCGGTTGCCATGATTTTGACTGTATTGGGGCGGAAACATACCTTGTATACATTCATTTTCATGGTGCGTCATGTAAGGGGGAAGACGGTAGGCAAACAAAGTAAAGGCTGAAGCTTGACGTAAGGTTGAGCATCATGGCAACAATGATCTCACAAGCACGAGATTCTCTATCGCATTCACTAAGCCATTCTCTATCAAGGTTTCAAGAGCTTGATGCCCACTGTTGCAGAAAGGGAGTCTAAGCCAATAGCCCTCAATGCTGGACTGCAAACAACTCAACAAGACAAGAACAAAAAAGATTCGAGGACCTTTAGGGTTCTCTACGTTGAACTGAAAATCTCGTAGCAAATTTGCCGCTTGCGGTTTAGACATTGTTTAGACAGAACTTTAGACTAAATGACAGTACATGTTTCTCAAAAAGCTTACACAGTGGCCGTCCTGTTTCTTAGACGTCCAGCCGAATTGTGCCTGCATGGTAGTGTAACTGTACCCCTGCATCTATAACTCTTATCGATCACCAGTTGGATGCAATAACGTTGGGAGCAATCGATAACCAGTTTAAGAGTTCGAATCCAGTTGGATGCAATCACATCGAGAGCAACCTCCTTCTCGCCAAAATAGACTTCCAAGTTCCAGCCACACACCAGTGTCACGTGTCCCGCATCGGTTCCAAGTGGTCCCAGGCAGTCCCAAGTGGTCCCAAGCTAGGTGAGAAACAAACAAAGACTTTCTCTCTCTTCCACGAACAAGGACCTTTTCGAGGCCAAAGAGGCCCATGCTGCAATCAATGTACGTGGTACAATGATAAACAGATTCCGAAACCAATAGACACTCGTTGAGAGCTCGGTGAGATCATATGTCGATTCGACTGTGCTATGGTTCGCTGATTGCGCACTCATGCAGGGTAAAAATGAATTTCCCTCGGTAAGTTACGCTACGTGCAACATGGGAAAATTTTACGGCCATAAAGGGCCTTGTATTTGATCAGCCGCTGACCAAAAAGGCCTATTAAAGCTGAAGCTCGATCAAATTTCAAAGGGAAAAAAAAAAATCGTTTTTTTCAATTTTATTGCACAAGAAAATATTAAAATAATCTATTGAGTGCCTAATTAATGAGCTCGAGTGTAAGAAACTTGTTTCTCTCCTCCCCCTCCCCCCCTTTGGGACAACCCTTACCCACCCTTCCTCTCGTCATTTTCCCTGGTGCACCCCTAACCCCCGTCTTACCCTAGTGTTAACCACACTGGGACCATCACCCATCGCCACCCTGGCAGGTTGACCTAACCAGACAGTGGTCGCAGGCATCCGGGCTGAGACTTCCGGGTACTCTCTTTCCTTCTCTCATTCTCACGCACGCGCAAACTTCCCCTGCTCAGGAACTTGCGGGTACTCTCCCTCCTCTCTCAATCTTGTCCATTTTGGGTGGGAAGGAGCCCTCCACTCTCAATCCTGTCCATTTTGGGTGGGAAGGAGGAAAAGAACACACACACACACACACACACACACACACACACATAGAGACAACACTTGACATGGAAAGCACGCTTTGGGTGGGAAGAAGTTCGTTTCATTGACGCAGTCGAAAAAACACCCGTCATAACTCCATCCAACTGCCTTCACTTGAAATTAGTACATTGAGAGTGGCATTGGCAAGCAGAAGAAGACACGACGCATAACTCACCTGAAGGCCGGCCTTCCAAAACGACGGATGAATGACGATTGAGTTGGTGGACAATGGTTCGACTCGATTTCTTCTCACGAATCTCAGGAATTTCCTTTGTCCCATCTCTCTCGATGCCATGACCCTGAGTTTTCGTTTGGGAACACGCAAACAGTTCGCACGGCCAATCGACATTTCAACAAATAGTCAGCTCCGCACCCGAAAAGGAAGAAGCAGCTATCAAAATGACACTCCCAATGCCTCCCATGGAATAACGTGTTATGAACATGATTGTCTGTTGAAATTTTATCAACACTCACTCACAGGAACTCCCGTACACGCCCATACATGCACAGAAGGAAGGGGAGAGGTAGTGGAGGGTCACACCGCCCAGAAAAGAAAACGCAGCGGAAGACTCAGAGAAGCGAAGTGACAGAATACACCATTCAGTGGATTCTCTCCACAGAAATCCCAACAATCATTCTTAGAAGACAACCGAGTGATCACAGCCAGAAATCAATGAAGAGATGACAACTCAAACACAATACTAACACTGTTTATTAAACTCAGAGCATCGTTTTCACTGAATAACCTCAGAACCCTGTTGCGCTACCCTCAGAGGGGTAGCGCCTCAACCCCACTCACACCGAGCAGCTAAAAATAGCACCAGAACCCCAGGTAACACCCAGCGCCACCCTGACATCCAACTCAGTGGCCTGCGCCAAGATGAAACAGGCTCCCAGAGCCAATCGCCACCCAGATGATGCAGAAGAATGATGAAGAAGAAGCTCAGCGCTAACAGTCCCTGATGAGGATGAAGTCCAGACGATGATATCTCTGAGAAGATGCAGCTATGGCTGCATCGCCACTGGGACCCTACTCCTGAGGAGGGTCAGCAGTGCATCACGTGCTCCAACGCATCAGACCTCTCATAGCCCAAACCGCCTTGACTCCCAGAGAGTCAGGGCGGACAGCGTTGACCCCAGTCCGGTCAGCGCTCTGAAGGTCTGGCTATGTCCGCCGTCTCCACCACCGGAATCAGCAACCACGACCTGATACCGTGTCCGCAGCAACTTCCACCACGAAGTGTCAACTGCCAAAAGCCCAGCACCGATGTCCCCATCCAATCTATACTCTACTACTAGCCTAGACCGACCTAGACCGGACTGACTGACTGACCGGTACCGTTTCTGTTTCGGCCTCTAGGGCCTCTCCCTACCCGGCTATAGGTTATAGGACCGTCTATCAGCATAGGCCCATAGGGCCTGTCTGTCCTAGGGGTAGCCCGGATCTGCTATTCGCGGTTAGGGTAGCTGTAGGAAATTCGAGTTAGTACTGGGCCCATATTTCCTATATTTACAAATATGTCCCTCACGAATTTTCCTTACAGGTAGGTCTCTCGGTTAGCCCTCAGCCAAACAAAATCACGAATCTGTCCCTACCTATGGTACACCCTCGTCTGAGAGAGGCTACAGGCAACCTGGAACCAGCAAGTCATTGCAAACGCACACTGCAAGAGTTCCACATAATTAATCCAACTAAGTTCGACAACGACAACAACTCATGCGGCCATGCTGACACATAAAGTGCATAGGAAGTCCTGCCTCACTGAACTGGCAAACTGCATATGCACACACAAGACACGAGGGCAGCAATGCAAGAACATCCGATTCCAAAGTCCACTTGAAATGCTGCAGCAGCAGCAGCAGCACAGAGATAGAGAGATAGATAGATAGATAGAGAGAGAGAGAGAGAGAGAGAGAGAGAGAGAGAGAGAGAGAGAGAGAGAGAGA